TCCCCCGCGCGCCCATTGTGAGGTCAGGGTGGGCGGCGCGTCGTGGGAGCCGGGCCGAGACGCCCGGAGCGGCCGCCGCCGCGGGCCCCTTCACCGGCCGCCCCGTCCAGACCTAGCCGGGAGGGGTGAGAGGGATGCAGCGGGGGTCCCGGCTCCGGCGCCGCACCTCGTGAAGGGCTGATCTTCCATCTCGCCACCTGAGCCACGGGAAGCCAGGACCGCGACAGCTCAGTCTCCTCCTGGGTAAAGCGCCGCTCTGAGGGAGGACCTGCACCTCCTGGGCCTGCGGCGGGCTTTCCTGGCCCGGACGCCCCCGAGGGACTGGCCTCGCTGTCCGTGCACCTCGGGCGGGCGTGTGAAGAAGCCCAAGGCCGGGCAGTGCGTTAGGCCGCTCCGGACGCCTCGTGGGAGGCGCGGGGATGAATTGTCCGCAGCCGTCACGCGGTCTGCGCGGCGGGAGGCGCGGGAGGTGCTGGCCCTCCGCGGGGTCGCAGGCGCGCCGCCTGTCCCGTGGGGCTCTCTGTGCTTCCGCAGGGGCACGCCTGTCACGAAGATGGGCGGGGGTGCGGCAGAGCTGCGCGCACAGGGACGCGGAGCAGCGTCCAGGACCCGCTGCCACTTGCTTCTGTGGCTCGGTTCCTTTTGCTTAGAGGTCCTCTTTCTGGAAGCCAGGCATAGCTGTTGGGGGGGGGGGACTCTTAGTGTTTGGAAGAGCGACTGTTTTATATTCCACGAAGGTGCCCTGCCCTTCCCAAAATACAGCTTACAGTGTTAAGACCTGAAGTATTTGTGACTTTTCCGACCTGATCAACTTCTGATGAACCTCTTATGAAGGCATATGCTGATCTTTCTTATGGTGGAAGAAACTTGAAATTTCACAGGCCCAGAGCTCCAGCTCATGCTGGACACTGCAGTAACTACTGTCCTTATGGTCACTGCCATGTCTAGGTTATTTTCAGGAGAGGGAGTTGATACATCAGCCTTCTTTCTGTACTCGAGTATGACTGTCTTTTGGATTGTGATAATGACAAGGACCCTTTTTTGGTGGGGGACAGCTGGCCGGTATGGGGATCCGAACCCATGACCTTAGTGTAGTGAGGCTGCGCGCTAACTCATTGAGCTAACTGGCCAGCCTCTGAAAAGCCCTTTTTAAAGTACAGGATATAGGGGCCGGCCCGTGGCTCACTCGGGAGAGTGCGGTGCTGATGACACCAAGGCCCCGGGTTCGGATCCCACATAGGGATGGCCGGCCCCCCCCCCCCCCCCCCGTGGTGTTGACAACACCAAGTCAAGGGTTAAGATCCCCTTACCGGTCATCTTTTTATAAAAAAAAATAATAATAAAATAAAGTACAGGATATATATCTATATATAGATATATATATAGATATATATCTATATATATCTATATATATATATATATTTTTTTTAAAGATGACCGGTAAGGGGATCTTAACCCTTGACTTGGTGTTGTCAGCACCACGCTCTCCCAAGTGAGCGAACCGGCCATCCCTATATGGGATCCGAACCCGTGGCCTTGGTGTCATCAGCACCACACTCTCCCAAGTGAGCCGTGGGCCAGCTGTAAAGCACAGGATATCTTTTTAAAGTAAGAATTTTAGAACTAGTATATGATTAGGATTCTGCAGGCTTTGTGCTGTAATACGTTTATCATTCTTGTCGCCTTTTAGTGCTTGTGAAACTGAACACAACAAAAGTATGGATATGGGAAACGAACATCCTTCTATCACCAGGCTTCGTGAAATCCAAAAGGAAGTAAAAAGTATAGAACAGCAGGTCATTGGCTTCAGTGGTCTGTCAGATGACAAGAATTACAAGAAACTGGAGAGGATTCTAACAAAGCAACTCTTTGAAATAGACTCTGTAGATACTGAAGGAAAAGGAGATATTCAGCAGGCCAGGAAGAGGGCAGCACAAGAGACAGAGCGTCTTCTCAAAGAGCTGGAGCAGAATGCAAACCACCCACACCGGATTGAAATACAGAACATTTTTAAGGAAGCCCAGTCCCTTGTGAAAGAGAAGATTGTGCCATTTTATAGTGGAGGCAACTGTGTAACAGATGAATTTGAAGAAGGCATCCAGGATATCATCCTGAGGCTGACACATGTTAAAACTGGAGGGAAGATCTCCTTGCGGAAAGCGAGGTATCACACTTTAACCAAAATCTGTGCAGTGCAAGAGATCATAGAAGACTGCATGAAGAAGCAGCCTTCCCTGCCGCTCTCCGAGGACGTGCACCCTTCCGTTGCCAAAATCAACTCTGTGATGTGTGACGTGAACAAGGCCAGAGGCACTCTGATTGCACTACTGATGGGAGTGAACAGCGATGAGACTTGCAGGCACTTGTCTTGTGTGCTCTCAGGCTTGATTGCCAATCTGGATGCTTTAGATGTGTGCGGGCGTACAGAAATCAGAAATTATCGAAGGGAGGTAGTAGAAGATATCAACAAGTTATTGAAATATTTGGATTTAGAAGAGGAAGCAGACACGACTTACGCATTTGACTTGGGACAGAATCATTCCATTTTAAAAATAGAAAAGGTCCTCAAGAGAATGAGAGAAATAAAAAATGAACTTCTCCAAGCGCAAAATCCTCCTGAATTGTACCTGAGCTCCAAAACAGAATTGCAGGGTTTGATTGGACAGTTGGATGAGGTAAGTCTTGAAAAAAATCCCTGCATCCGGGAAGCCAGGAGGAGAGCAGTGATTGAAGTGCAAACCCTGATAACTTATATTGACTTGAAGGAAGCCCTTGAAAAAAGAAAGTTGTTTGCTTGTGAGGAGCACCCGTCACATAAAGCAGTCTGGGACGTCCTTGGAAACTTGTCAGAGATTCAAGGAGAAGTTCTTTCATTTGGTGGAAATCGAACTGATAAGAACTACATCCGGCTGGAAGAGTTGCTCACCAAGCAGTTGCTGGCGCTGGATGCGGTTGATCCGCAGGGAGAAGAGAAGTGTAAGGCTGCCAGGAAACAGGCAGTGAAGCTTGCCCAAAATATTCTCAGCTATCTCGACTTGAAATCCGATGAATGGGAGTACTAAAGTTCCAGAGCTCTCACGTTTGATACTGCTTGTTTTGCACTTTATATATACTTCTATGTATTTATAGAGAGCTTTCAGTTCATTGAGCCTAATGTGATTTATACATGCATATTTCAATCTCAGTATTTATGATTTAAGCAAATTATATTCCAGTATCTTTGCTGCTTTTGATGTTGCAAAACAAATATCATTACAGCACATTTACTTTTCCATTTGGATCATCTGTATGATGTGGTGTGGTTTGTTTGGTTTGTCCTTTTTGGTTTTTTGTTTTACATTTTTAATCAGAAATTAAATAGAAGCAGCTTTTGTAATTAAATTTTAAATTGGTTGTGCAAGCATTAAAATGCAGATACTTCAGAAACTAGAAATAGATGTAACCTTATGTAATGCTAGAAAAATTATGAGAAAGGGGAAAAATCAGAAATTAAATAGAAGCAGCTTTTGTAATTAAATTTTAAATTGGTTGTGCAAGCATTAGATGCAGATACTTCAGAAACTAGAAATAGATGTAACCTTATGTAATGCTAGAAAAATTATGAGAAAGGGGAACCTTTTGGGTTAAAAAGGAGTAAGGTCCAAGCACAGAATACAATGATATGCTTTATTATGCTAGATAAAGCAGAAGAATTTTTTTCACTTCTAAAGCCTAACTGGTCCACCCAGTTTAATGGGGTGGAGATTTTTGTTTGTTTGTTCGGATGGTCTGTTCTTTCGTAAACATTTTTTGTTTGAGAAACAGTGTCTGTATTTCCCCCCATGCTCTGCATTTTAGAGGGGGGAATCTTTTTTATGTGTGCAACATAAGAAAATTATGAAAACGAATAGCCAAAAAACCTTTGAGACTGCATTGAAGAAGGGATAAAACACCAGCTATTAAATACCCTCAAGTTGTTCTTGTTTGTAAAATTCGAACTTACAGTTTTTCTTAGTAATTAGTGAGGATGACAACATTTAAATGAAATTAATGGACCTTAAAAAAAGAAAAATGGCAATACCTATACGTGTAGTTGGAAAATGGACACTGGAGATTAGTTACCAATGTCAGGTTACACTAAACTGTGGGGCATGCAATGGTTTTCTTCTTTTGTTCAAAGCTGTACAATGGACAGACTTGTTAAACATACTCGATGCTGTTTTACAACATGTGAGAGCAAAAACTGTTGGTAATCCTGAGGAAGGAACCAGGTCGTCATAGCTTGTCAGAGGAAGGTAGCTCTCAGCTACTAGCATCTTAAATTTCACCTGCTCTGAGATTAATTAGTGAAACCTGCCCTCGATTAAAGGTTTGCTCTGGATACCTGCTGAACTCCTTAGCTCATGTTAATTAAAGTCTCATGCATGAAGTTTTTTTCTTCTGCTAATGGTATATATATTTCTGTAAATACTTTCTGAGAATCCAATTTGAGGATTGCCTATTAATGTAAACAAGAATGTCCCAAAATTCTGAAGGGCCTTGATGACATGTTGGTCCCAGTAGTATAACAGACTGTTTTTTTCTGTAGTCACATTTCACAAAATAATCCTATTATAGAGTACATCTTTTGAAGTCTGTGGTAATCTGCTATTTCAGAGATACTAATTTTGTAACTTTGTGCAGGGAAATTGTCACTTTAAACAACTAAAAGTATGATTGATAAAGGAAAAGCCTTAAATACCTGAAAGATGATAAAAGCATAGCCCTAAACAACTCCTCACTTTGTCTCTCAGTGTTGCCCAGTCATTGAAAGCCCTTGATATAACTTTCCTACTAGAAATGCTCTAGAAACATTGGATATGGGGTCAGAGGGCAGCCGGGGCCTTTGGGCAGGAGGAGGTCCAGCTCCTGGCAACTGTGGGCTTTCAGTGCAGGTCATTGGAATTCTTATTTTGGCCACAGTAGTTTCAGGATTGCTTTTCTGTATAGTAATTTTAGAGTGCTCTTAAAACCTTGAAGAAGGGTTTTTAAATTAGAGCCCTATTTTAATTATACCACTGGTAAATCACTGCAGACATCTGCCAGTTTCTAGTACTTAATTTTGGCCACAGTAGTTTCAGGATTGCTTTTCTGTATAGTAATTTTAGAGTGCTCTTAAAATCTTGAAGAAGGGTTTTTAAATTAGAGCCCTATTTTAATTATACCACTGGTAAATCACTGCAGACATCTGCCAGTTTCTAGTACTTTGTTTTTAATTTAAAAGTATCCATTATTCTTTGAAAGCAGATTTCCCCATCGTTCTTTTCAGTGTTTTCTAGAACTTCTGTGGCTCCATCTCACGCTGCTGAGCATTGAGCATCGTGTGCGAGTATAGGATACTGAGCTCTTCGAGTCATTTGGAACTTTTCACGTGGTTATTGAAATGATCAAATCGGCCTTGTGTGACTGTTAAGCATGACTTTGTTTCCTATTTTCAATCTATTCTAGTTTCTGAGCATTGAGCATCGTGTGCGAGTATAGGATACTGAGCTCTTCGAGTCATTTGGAACTTTACACGTGGTTATTGAAATGATCAAATCGGCCTTGTGTGACTGTTAAGCATGACTTTGTTTCCTATTTTCAATCTATTCTAGTTTCCTATACTGGATTATTCCACTCCCATAAGGAGCCCTAGTGACACCAAATTTAGCTTTCCTTGTTCCCTTGTTGGGAGCTGATTGTGTTAATATGGGCTGCTGCATGTAATTGTTTAAACTGGGCGCATCATATTGTATATTGTATTTTTATGATCTTATGTGAAGAGAACCTGTACTGCAAGTAAAACCTACTCCCCAAAAATGTTTGGCCTTGGGTCTGCATTAAAAGGTGTAATCCATGTTCATGCAAAACATGGGTGGGAACGTTTGCCTTCTTTACCTTGCATTCAGTCAGCATTACTTTCAGATCCTTTTTTATCCAAGTAGGTTAAAGTCAATCAACCTATTATGAAGTAGTTATTAAAATAAATATAATGAATATGTCTACTAAGTACAGTTTATTAATGCTTTTTCCTTTTTGCTAAAATACCTATATATTTGGTATAATTTAGTATGTTTGAGCAGTTTAGTTTTTCTCATTTGTTTTACCCTGCCAATTTTTATCTGTTTTTTTTTATCCTGTACTTGCAGGGTTTTTTGGAGCAAAGTTTTTCGGCATTTAAGTGGTGAGATATTTTTGTCTAAAGAATAACTGGAGAAATAGTTGCTATTGATTTTGATGTATAGTACAGGTGTCTTTTTCCGGTGTGTTGGTTCCTGACTGTATGACTATTCTAGTAGTACGTCTTAAATAATTCAGTATTGTTTTGAGATAAACTCATTAGTATACTCTTAATCATTCGTGAAATGAAACACATCTCTTAGCTTCTTTCTGCAGTGGAAAGGGGAGGTGAGTCTGAGGTGCGCGTTCTGTTTTAGTTGGCTCTGTGTTCTTGTGCATCATCACCTTTATGTACTTGTGACTTGGGTGACGAATCCTTTAGGACCAGAGGTGACTCCTCGGTGGGTGAGCACAGGCCAGGGCCCATGCACAGGTGCCCAGGTGTTCAGAGATCTAAACAACCCAGGAAGAGGCGGGGGTATGGCCACATGCTCTGCTCCCCCAGGGGGATGCTTGTGGTCTCATACCCTCTCCTATTTGTAGCAAGAAGAAACAACTCTGGGACATGGTTCCAGAACTCTCAGGGAAGAGTTTTGAGTTAACGTGTGTGTTGAGACCACTTTCTCCACTGCTTCTTAGCAGAGGTATTGGAAGTGTTTCCCACCATCCAGCTCTTCTGGCATTGTGTTCCAGCTCCAGCCTCCCTGGCCTCTTACCAGTTCCCTCCTGACTCGGAAGCCCACGTGCTTGGCCGGAGGCTGTGCCGAGTTTACTTGGGGCAGTCCTTTATCTGTCTATTTGTTTTTTCCTATTTCCATCATCTTTTCTATCATCTCTCTGCCTGCTTACGTCTTCCAGGTGATCCATATAGAGAAGCAGAGGCAGCCTGGTCAGCTAGGCAACCTCATGCTTGACCCAGAAGCGAAGGAAACACTTTGGGAGAAATTTGAAAGTTTTAGTAAGCCATCTGACACACACAGAGGACTGTAATACACCAGGCTTCCTGTAACTTATGGACATTAGAAACAGCAGCACCAAGCTCCTAGTGTGTGCTTAGTGTTGCGCCAAAGATCGGAAAAGTATTCATCATGTCATTGTCCCCAAAGAAATTACAGTCTAGTGAGATAAAAAACAATAAATCAGCCGCTCCAGATCTGTCTCAGGCAGAAACGTCTGGGTGTCAGAAGAGCAGGGCAGCGAATGTTGGGGAGACCAACGGGCTTAGGGACCCTAGAGGCTGGTTAGGAACAGGACCGGAGAAACCCGGGAGGGGTCTGGGGCAGTGGCCTGGCAAGCTTGGCCTTGCTTCTGGAGCACAAGCTGAGCCCAAATCAGGGCCCCTGAACGCAGGTCTGAGCAGGATTTGTCCAAGGCCGTCTTACATTTTCTGTGCTGTAATTAGATGCTGCGTTCATTAAGCTATCATTGATCGAATATTTCTATGTGCCAAGTCCTGGGCGGAATGTTTCATGTGCATTTTAAACTCCCGGAACCATTTGAAGCAGGTTTTAGTACTATCTGTATTTCATAGATGATTCAGAGACTCAAGTGATCACTTGCTCAAGGAACTGCCCAAGGTCACACTGCAAATAGGAGAGGCAGAACAATCCAGTACAGTTGAGCGCAAACTCAGCCCCACGTTGACAACATGGCTTGTGCTATGGTCCCACCCCAGACACTGTGGTGTCATTGGTATGGGGTACAGCCTGGACATGAGGGTTTATGAAGGCTCTTGCCTTTGAGAATGCTGGCTGAGTGGCTTAGCTCCCAGGGGGCCCAGCCTGCTTAGGTTCAAAGCCGGGGAGTAACTTAGTCTCTCTGAGCTTCAGTGTCTCCTGAGAAGCGGGCAGTACTTAGCAGGTAGGGTCGAAGCACTCACCTACTCCTCATGAAGCATTTAGCTTCATTGTTACATCCCAACGCCATTACCTCTGTGTACCATTCGTCCCTTTTAATGGAAAAACTTTAAGAAATTCTGTCTTAAACTAATGTCTTATTCTGTCCAAATATCTATCCATTATAACTGCAAAAATGTATCTTTCTACATTAACATGAAAGTGAAGTGAAGAGAGTTCCCCCTCTTAGGATTCATAGATGTTTCCAGAGTTGCCAGGGACCCATGACCCCCAGTTTGGGAAACAGTGCCTTAGTCCACCTCTCCTTCTCTCGTCT